GTGGTGAAACCATATTGCTTTTTCTGATGTTTCTTCTTCTTCTTCTCCTCCTCCTCCTTCTCCTCCTGCCATTTTTTAAATGGATTCAGCTTCTTCATTTTAGGGCCCAAGGTCCTGAAATTTGGTATGGAGGTACAGTGGGCAAATACCCCTAGGCGTTTTTTAAATTATTGTGATACAGGCTTTTAGAATGGTTTTATTTGAGTTTTTTGGCTGTGTTATAGCAAATGTATTACTGTGTTAGGGTGCCTTGTTTACCACGTTTGGACATGAGTCATCACAATGGAATGCAGGGCATCAACCAATAGGCATGCAGCTTTCCTCTATACTTCTTGCTGATTGGCTGTTGGGATTTAACTTGATTAACACCTGCACAGAAGCATTTCCATACTGACAGTATGTCTGTATTCAAGTGTTTTGGTAGGTATTTCAAGCTTTCCTGCTCCAGCAGTGGAATGCCGGGCATGGACGTTTTTTTTTTATTTTGAAAATCAACAGTTTGCATTATGCAATTAAAAATCCTAACCAATAAAGTAGGGAATAGCTATCCAACTGTTGTTTTAGTTGTATTTTACTTCATATTATAGTTATATCAATGTAAATCATTGTTTTCCCTTGTGTTTCCCATTCTTTCCCTGCCATGTCGTAAAATGTGGTGAACCCATCGCTGTATTTGCTCCAAAGCAAATATTGGCCTTTCTAGTTTATTTTTGTGATACAGGCTTTCCCTGCCATGTTGTAATTGTGGTGAAGCCATCTGCTACATTTGCTCCAAAGCAAATGTCAACCTTTCTAGTTTCTTCCTTTGTTTTATTAGCCTGTGGCAATTTCTAGTGATCCAACTTGTACAATATAGTTTACCATTTTTTGTAAAACTTGCATGAGAATACTTATATTTTCAATGTAGAACGTTTTATCACTCAGGTGTCAGATCATGCACGGAGCTAGAAAAGGTTGATCGGCTCTAAAAATTTATGTCCCTTACAGCGGTCCACACACAAAAATGGCTAGGGTTGAGAAACAAGAAACACAACATTTTTTTTTCCTAGGCCTTCTTTAGCCTCCTTCGCAGTCTTGTTGGGCGTGGGCGTAATTTTTTCTCTGAGCGACGCTAGTAATATGCGGCCGCGAGGGACGATTTGCTGCCGAGGGACTTTTGCCACGGAGAGAACGAAGGTTTCCACACTCCAACAAGACTGCTTCCAATCGGCGAGTTAAAAGGACCTCGGATTAAGCCAGCCTTTCATAGAGGCTATTAACATGTTCGTGCAGGTCCAATTCACATGTTCGCGCAGGTCCAATTCACATGTCCGCGCAAGGGTAATTCATAGATACGCATGACACGCGCTCGCCTTTGTCAACGGTTGGTTTTATTAGCTTGCGTGACGTTATACATGTAGTCGAAGGTTCCAACAGAGAACATTGGTAATGTTACAACAAAGGCATTGCCGTGCATATTTAAGCGTCCCATGCAAACAAACCAAGACAATTTGCAGTACTATTTTTGCTGGTGAAATGTGCAATTCTTTCTATTACGCAACTTGCTGCGGAGCGGTGTGTTACCCTCCCATGGTCAGTGAGATCAGTGAAACAACATGGCGGCACTTTGTTTATCTGTCGACGTCCCCCAGCAATATCACAGTTTAGCTTGCGGGTTCCTGTGGTAGTGATTTGTTCAAAGTTGTTTTTCGTAGCAGCAATGTCTCCGGGATTTTGTTGAGTGGATAGGGCTGGGTTTTCGGGAATGGTTGGCGTTCTACCGACGGGTTGATCCGCGACCGCTGGAAAGTTACAAGTTTTGGCTCGTCGATCAACGGGGCGTGAACACCACCCTGCACTGGTGGCGTTTATTGCGGGAAGTTCACACATCCATGCCAATCGCTCCTAAATGTTTTTTGATAGCCCTTTTAACTCGCCGATTGGAAGCAGTCTTGTTGGAGCGCGGAAACCTTCTCTCCGTGGCAAAAGTCCCTCGGCAGCAAATCGTCCCTCGCGGCGGCATATTACTAGCGTCGCTCAGAGAAAAAATTACGCCCACGCCCAACAAGACTGCGAAGGAGGCGCGGAAACCTTCTCTCCGTGGCAAAAGTCCCTCGGCAGCAAATCGTCCCTCGCGGCGGTATATTACTAGCGTCGCTCAGAGAAAAAATTACGCCCACGCCCAACAAGACTGCGAAGGAGGCTAGGCCTTCTTATTGATGGAGCGAAAATGCTGCCAGTGCCACCTGCATGGAGGATCTGTGGGAGTACTCACTGGTAGTAAATCTCACTGGTTTAAAAAAAAAGCGTGGGTTCAGGGTAATACCGGTATGTACATACATAGGTGTGGGTGTGAATTAACAGATGGGTGTTAGATATCAGTATGCACAGGTGGATTGTAGGTGTTAGGCCACAGCAAGTAATTTTTATGGATCACATACATGGCCCAATCTCTGCCTATGATGACTGCATCGTTTCAAGCATGTGGTAGTAAATGTTTTAGGATGATAAATAACGAGAAACCTTGGTGGAATTGGCCAGTTTGCCATTGATTTTGACAGCATGACAGTCTTTACCAGGGCTCGAAATTCATTTTTGGTACACCCAACCTAAAATATTAGGTGCACAAAAAATTTTGTGTGCACCATATAAAACAAAACCTAATTACAGATCTTACTGCTCCTCTTCTGGGCTTGAATCTGAAATTGGGGCTAACTTACAACAAAGATTTTATCATTTTTCTGACACTTGTAATACTTGTTTGCCGAAATACCTTCAAAAATATTTGGGTGCACAGCTCCAAATTTGCACATGCACCCAGTATTTCGAGCCCTGCTTTACACAGTGTAAAATGCACCCAGTATTTCGATTATATAAAAAATATTTGGGTGCACAACTCCAAATTTGCACATGCACCCAGTATTTCGAGCCCTGCTTTACACAGTGTAAAATGCACCCAGTATTTCGATTATATAAAAAATATTTGGGTGCACAACTCCAAATTTAGCCTGGGTACCATCCCCAGTAGTATATTCGCAAACTCTATAACTGGGTCTGGACTTGAACACATATAAAACGATTGGTCATGACTTCACGTAATGAGCTAGCCCGAGCAGCGGGGCTTCATTTGATTGGCTGAGCCTCAGAGGCGACGGCCAATGGCGCACCTGCATTATTCAAGTGATGTTTGTTGTTTTGTAAACACAGATCTTCGCGCGAGTATTCCTTTTCTCGGTGCGTTCTTTTTTTACCGGTAGGACGCCCAAAACATTACGAACAAAATTATTCAATGCATCTTTTTGCTCGTTTTTGAGCGACGATATTCCGTCTAAATCGTCCAAAACGGACGTGATTGCAAGGTCAACATCAACCTCCGTGAGCTGAGCGGCTTGTGCGTTAGCCATGTTGATGATTTATCATGGAAAGACTGACTACGGCTATATCATGTGCGCTTTAGCGTTCGGTTCGCCGTCGGACATGTTGATGATAAGGCGTTCGGACGTTCGAACGGACGCTAACATCGCCGTTCGGACATCCGAACAGCCCTTACCTAATATGTACACACCCAAAAAAGGGCTTAGACGAGTAGGACCAATCAGCGCGCTCGATCAAAATCTGAACGAATATTTAGACTCCAGACGCTACATATGTGTTCAAGTCCAGACCCAGTTATAGAGTTTGCGAATATACTACTGGGGATGGTACCCAGGCTACTCCAAATTTGCACATGCACCCAGTATTTCGAGCCCTGCTTTACACAGTGTAAAATGCACCCAGTATTTCGATTATATAAAAAATATTTGGGTGCACAACTCCAAATTTGCACATGCACCCAGTATTTCGAGCCCTGCTTTACACAGTGTAAAATGCACCCAATATTTTGAGCCCTGCTTTACACAGTGTAAAATGCACCCAATATTTCCAGCCCTGCTTTACACAGTGTAAAATGCACCCAGTATTTCCAGCCTTGCTTTACACAGTGTAAAATGCACCCAGTATTTTGAGCCCTGCTTTACACAGTGTAAAATGCACCCAGTATTTCGAGCCCTGCTTTACACAGTGTAAAATGCACCCAGTATTTCGAGCCCTGCTTTACACAGTGGTGCCGGCTGGGTCACTTTGAGTCTACAGGGCAGTCTGTTGTAAAATGGTAGTCTCCTTTGCAGGTGCTCTGGGATTGGCCGTTTTTCGGGGGGAGGGGGGGATTTTCTGATCAAGCATAGATTGCATGCAATTATTATAGTTACTGTACATGTAGCTTGTTTTGGAACTGTTTCAAATGCTTGGAGTAAGAATTGATGACAAAAACGTACCAGGAAAATGCAGTCAATGTCAGCCAGATTTCCTCATCCAGAATATTTTCTGTTTTGTTGCCCTGAAATTGCAATGGGTGCATTTAAATTTTGGGGGGTCAGATAAGATGTAGCAGAGTTCAAAGGTTTGGGTGATCCATGTCAGAATAGGCCCCATTACTTATATGACCGTAGTAATTGCACCCCTCGGGGATGTCATCTATGTCAATCAGCAAAGAATCGTTACATAGTAACTCAGTAAGCCAATGCTGATCCTTTTTCTGATTGCAATTGGTTTCTACCATCTCTGATTTGTTCCCTTGGACCAAACCAATTTAATCAATTGGTTCTCAGATTTGTCCCTTGTAGGGGAATTTCCCTGGTACAATGAACCTGTAAATACTGTACATAGTGTCTGTCTTCCCTGTCACGACCAGTGGAAGATTTCGCTCTTCAGTGAGCTTAATTTAATCGAGATCACTTTCTGTCTTACTTTCTTTCTTTTGGCTCGTGCTGAGAGCATCCTTATGGCATAAAAGCAAATTGGCCATGGCCACTTAGACTAAGTTAAAGCCATAAATTAGATTAAGCTGCAGCTAAGATGTTAATGCATTTTATTCTAAATCAAAGGTTGCTTTTAATCGTAATCTTAATCTTGAGAGTCCTTCGTACGCTCTTTGATTGCATTTTATAACTTGTACTTGTAACTTTCAAAATTCAAATTTCAATGTCTTGTGACTTTCAAATTTCAAAATTCAAATTTTATGTATGTCGCAATTTCTGTGTGCATGCCAATTGATTGAATCAAATTGAATTAAACTGAACTTGATGCATACTTGTCCCTACAGGCACCCATGACTCCTTCAGTTTCTACCTGGACAAGACGTCCGACATCTCGCCCGGCGAGCCGCCTGAGATCAAGGCAGCCGTCATGATCATGGGGCAGGCTGGGAAGGACCTGGTGTACCGCTGGTCCGTCACGCAGGACATCTGCTTCATGGAGCAGCTCAACGACGGCGTGCGCTACTTCGACTTCCGCGTGGCGGGAAGAAAGAGCGACAGCTCGCTGTACTTCGTCCACGGTCTGTACGGTAACAAAGTCGAGACCGCCCTGCTCGAGATCGCCCAGTACCTCAACACCCACCCGAAAGAAGTCGTGCTGCTCGATTTCAATCATTTTTACAGCATGGTCGATTTTCACCACGAGCGGTTAATCGCGATCTTGAAGGAGATGTTTGGTCCGAAGCTTTGCCCGCGGATGGATCCCGGCGACGTGACGTTAGCAACGCTGTGGGAGCGCGGGCAGCAGGTTATTGTGTTCTACCACAACAGCGTCGCCGACCGGCACATCAACCTGTGGACGGGGGAGGCTATCGTAGCGCCCTGGGCGAATACGCCCGAGATCCCAGCTTTAGTTGAGTTTCTCAACACGGAAAAACGGCAGGAAACCAAGTTCTACGTTTCCCAGGGCGTCCTCACGCCGACCGCGGGAACTATCCTCGGCAACCTGAACGGGAGTCTGAAGGACGTGCTGGCGACACCCGTCATGCCGCACATCCTGAAGTGGCTGAATGGGAGAAGACCGGGGTCCGGCGCCCAGGGCGTGAACATCGTCATCGCCGACTTCGTGGATCTCGCCGAGTTCCTGCCAGCCGTCATCAACCTAAACTACAAGGAAACTCTCTAAAACTGGATCTCGGGGTCGGACAAGTTTTCAAACATCCACTTGTTCTATATGGTCATTTCCACTTGCCCTTGGCAACAGACATTTAACTGGCCAGAATTTACTGTAAAATCACTTCATGTTTT